TTGTCATCCAGCTCAGGTCACGTGTGCTCCACAGCTGATGCTGCTTTAAATCTCATTCCTTCCCTCCTTTCCTGTCTCCTTCTCTACTTCCTTTTCTTCCTCACTGTTATCCTTCTTTCCTCTCATTACCTCCTGTCAGAATCCGTCATAAATAATTCCCTTTCAGACCTCACCCATTCCGATTTGAACCAAAATTGTTGTCCTTTATTGAAAAAAAACAAACATGGGATAATTAGAGAAGATTTAAGAGAAATAAACATATTTCAAGCAACATATGAAGCAACCTTCTGCGAATGGAATATAAATGACAGGAAGCACGTCCCAAACCAATCTTAAGTAGGAAGATGAGATATGTTTGTGTAGTGTGTGTAGCACCTACTCGTTTTTAACTGGCGTCCCACGCCTTTCATAGCCAGTTTCCCACTCCTGTAAAGGGACTCGGCAACTCCCCTGGCCTCCCACACGCAAAATGGAAACACAGACAGTTATACACAAACACACATCCTCTCACACTAAAGAGGTTTGTTCTCCTCCGGTATGCACACGAATGCTGTACATTTACCTTTTAAATAATGATTGGATATGTCCTTGGACTTGAGTCATATGACCTTACTACATTCATAAATGTAATACCTCGCCTTGACAACATCCAAAAAGGCTTGCAACTTGACTTCACTTGGATTTGAGCTTTTTGATGTAAACATACTTGATACCTAACCCTAAGCCCCAAAGATTCAAATGTATGTTATTTTAAAAGTTGCTATTCAATATATTTCTTTTCATTTCCTAATCTTTAAAATTACTCATTTACATCAAGTGAACACCCACATTCCCATTTCAACCTAGTTTGAACCAAGTAGACAGCATAAGATAAGGTTCTATAGAGAATTATAATCTTACAATAGTGAGCACCAGGTAGATCAATTACACCAAAGATCATTTTGTTCACATACAATTGTGCGGCGGTCAAAAAATGACTAATGACAGTAAAATAATTTAGGATTGAACTATTACAAATGACATACAGAGAATCATTATGACTGGAACCTGAAATGCTAGGACTTAGAACTTGGATCTTGTCAGTCTTGACTTGTGACTTGCAGACCACTAACTTGATCCCACCTCTGGTGTGTATTATGTGTTAACAATCCACCCTGTATCATTATTGATCTGTCTGAGTCCCCTTTTGTATTGATGGGAGAAAACCCCACTGTTAACCAGGTTTTCTCATTTCTTCTCTCTCTAACATACGTCTGAATAAACAGCTCAGTCACACTGTGAGTGCTGTGGCTGACCAAGTACTTTAAGCGCTGCCAAACATTTATTCTGTTCAGTCTTAAGGTCTTGGCAGCTCAGACAGCTTTTATTTTTCTTCAATCTTGTTAATCTGTCCTTTCCTACACAGTGTATCACTATAGCTTTGAGTTATATATGTTGTTTCTATAGTTTGAAATACTAAGACTTGATATAACTACTAATATATATTTCAAAAATATAGAGTTCAGTATATATATCCCATATTATAAACATATATTGGTTGCTCTGGGGATAAATAGGTTAATACCAATCAGAAGTTTACATGTCACTTGATGCAAAAGTGAAATGTAACCTCTCACATTTACTCAAGTAATGTACTTTAGTAAAACATTGAGGAACTTCAAGTGTGTATTTTCACATTATGCTACTTCATAGTTTTACTTCACTGAATTTTGTCGGTAAATATTGCATTTCTTACAACAATACATTCATTTAAGAGCTTGGATTTGTCTTTACTTTTCAGATAAGATGATAAATTAGCACCACTTTTACCAGCTGCAACATTGAAGTGATGAACACATGCAGTAACTTAATCTATATGATTTTGAATTCAGCCATACTACATGACAAGTACTTTTTGTATAATATTGTATTACAACTTGTATTATATTTTAATGCAAATACTTTTTTACTTTTACTGGAGTATGATTTTTGAATGTAGCATTTAAGTAATTTACACTGTAGTATTACAACTTTTACTTTGGTAAAATATCTTCTTTTTCGCCTATTTTAACTTTTTCCTGAGACGTTACTATTTTGAATCTAGATCTGTACACATAGACACATAATATTCTAAACAGATCTGCACCATGTGGAGATGCAGAACAGCAACTGGGGGTTAAATGCTGTGCTCAAAGGCACTCCAGAGGGCGTGCGACGCTGTTGAGCCCTCTGCTGACTTTAGCTGTGGAAAAATAAAAGCAAGATCTCAAACTCTCAACAGTATTCGTGAAAATAGCTGGTCTCATGTGGCATTGTGCGCTGGAACGTTTGTTGCACTGAGATGACCCAGTTATTTTGATGTGTGTGAATGTGTGTGTGTGTGTGGTGACACGGAAGACAGATTCATCAGGTTTTCTCACGTTAACAGATTGCTCCCCTCTGACCTCACAGCTGGGAAACAACGTGTGAAATGAGAGAATGAGAATGTGTGAACCATATTTCATTATATGGAAATCTGTGTTTTGCATGTATTGGTCCAACTGCAAATGGTGTGAATGGATGAGCGTGCATGTCATTTCTTTCAGTTTTAACGTACATTGTAACATGTCCTCTTCCCCTATAGTGACAGTTGACTTGGTGAGAACAGTCTCTGGGTAACACACATCACTCTTATCGCCTGCCCGGGTTGAAAACAAAAAGATAATTTTAAACGAAACAATCCCCTTCTAAAGACCTTTTTAGAGCAGAAACAAACAGCTTTATGAATTTAGAGAAGTGGTTAGAGTGGTGTATACGTGGTGCGTGATTGTGTGTGTGTGTGTGTGTGTGTGTGTGTGTGTGTGTGTGTGTATACACGTTGGTGGTATGTGTGAATAAGAAATGTAATCAGGAGGTTCACTGTGAAAAGACCTGGTTAGACACCCAGGCTAGATTACTTTTACACACACACACACACACACACACACACACACACACACACACACACACACACACACACACACACACACACACACACACACACACACACACAGTTCTGCTAGATAAGCTCCATTTAGCCTAGGCCAAAGTGTTAGATTTAATCTGTTTTAGCCACCTGTGTCTGTTTACAGTGAATGATGTATTTTATGTGTGTGTATAGCATTGCTGTCTAGGATAGTACGAACACAACATTAAAGTTAAAATCTCCATTCAAATAATGATAATAAAAGAGAGAAAACTGTTCATACAACTGTAGTGCTAGAAAACTGTGTGTTGGAATAACCACACACATACAACACACATGTACAATGTATTTTTTTCCGAGCAATGTTAGAATTAAGGTAATGTTAAGGTTATAATAAGAAATAAATGCAAGTCAATACATGTCCTTACAAGTACACTAGTCTGCACATTCCTGCCTCTTTAAAAGTCACTGCACTGACCCTTAAAATACAAATGTCATGACATCCAGGCAACAGTTTGTGGTAAAATGCATAAGCAATTGAACGTTACATGCATAAGCAATTGAACGTTACATGCATAAGCAATTGAATGAACACGTTACATGTCCATTTTGTTGTATTTTTTATTTGATGTAAATGCATATTTTTTTAATTTATATTTATATTTAAATATATATATAAGGATAATAGGGCCCACTTAATTCATTTATTGCTAAGGCAAAATCATATTATAGATTACATTTTTTGTTTATTTATATATATATATATATAAATATAATTAAAAGAAATGTAATCTATAATTTGATTTTGCCTTAGCAATAAATGAATTGTGGTCAACCCTATTATGCTTGTTGAGGGTTTCCCTATCCTGTATTGTGTTAATTAAAACTGACTGATAAGGTTATATCTATTTACCAAATAAAAGGTACATAATCCAATGACATTTCTTAAGCCACTACCCACACACACATTTTCTCTCTTTCATTCTACATTAAATCAGGACACTTTTCACACTTTAGCAATAGAGTAGCCATGGCATGCACACACAGACATTGTTAGAAATGCACAGTCACACCTGCTTGATTCAGTATCTCTCCTCTCACACTCTCTTGCCAAATAGTCTCCCAGTCACTTCTAACTCTCTCCGATGGCAGTCAGCCAAATGGAGCCGGTCGACCCATAAAAGCTCCGTCCTGTGCCATAAACCAGAAACTAAAACACACTTTAACCACGAGTCGACGGAGAAAATGTGTTTCTGTCGTGGTTCAGAACCCTCGGGGCGTGGATACATTAAGACGCTGATAAACGTCCAAAGTGTGTAAAAGAGCTTGAGTTGGTTTTGCGTTTTTGCTGCATCAAGCTTCGAAAGGAATGGCGCTCACACCTGATATCTTTTTTTCTGCCGCACTACAGTACAGAAACCATAAATAATAATATATGATGGCATTGGTTTAATTAGAATGAAACAAGTCTAATCAGTTTTAAACTTGTTCAAGGCTATTAAACTGTTAAATAAATAAAATATGAACACAAAACAAGATTTATAAACATGTGATGGAATTTGATGCGTCAAATCCAAAGATTACATAATTTTTAAAACACAGATGAAAGTTAAACTCAGATTTATTTGCAAATGTACTGTAGAACCTTTATCTTTTTATTTTTTACCTTAATTGTTTACATTTTATGCCAAAAAACATGCTCTAAACGCTACATTTAAACACTCAATACATTTAAAATATACTTTTGACAAATACTACTCATTACTGAATAGAGCATAAACATATCATAACGTCACCAAATGAGACCTCTCTTAACATTTAAAACGTTAGTTAAATATAAATCCCACAAGAACAGTACTGCACTCCGGTTGCTAACAGCTAACATTAACTAGCATTGTCTCCATAGACCTTTGTGTGGGCCCCGCAATGCCTTTTGGACAGGTTCACTTCAACCCATTGAAATATAATAACCTTGTATTGTTTTTGTCTTTCATGGAAATCCTCTGATTGCACCTGTATTATTACGATCATATTTGAACACTCTCTGGCCTTTTCCTTCCTGTTTCTGTGGCTGTAGGTTCGTTCATGGTGGTGAATGCGTCAGGGCGGGCGTCGGGGCAGAAGGCTCACCTTTACATGCCCACCCTGAAGGAAAATGACACCCACTGCATCGACTTTCTGTACTCTCTCTCCAGTCGGGACGGAATCAGCCCGGGCACGCTCAACGTCTACATCAAGGTATGTGTGTTTGAGTGTATGTGTGAGTAACTGACTGACAGGGAGGGATGGATTGATAGATGAAGAGGCTGATAGACTGAACAGATGAAGCAGGTAAACAAACAATGACCCCTGTTTTCTGTCAAGAAGGGATTGAGTTAGCACAGTCCCATTGAGTGTTAAGAGAAGGCTTTGTGTGTTTGAGATAGAAAGAAACAAAGAATTACTGATCTCCATAAAATAATGGATGGCATAAAGTAAAGCTTAATAAACAGCATTTGAGAGAATGGTTTTTGCTTTTACTCTTTGCAGCAAGACTGAAATAAGCCGGCATAATATAATCTTTATTTACAGAAACCAGTGGAGACAAATGCATGTTAAAATTAACAAATCATAAAAATGGTTGTATACAGCAAACAGCTTAGATTAAGAATAGGAACCAGTGGTTTATGAATATTTTAATTCATATTTTATATTGTGGTCTTAAGGCCCTGATGGACAGGCTGTTAAAAAAGAGTTGGTTAATTTAGAGGGAGCTGAAAGGAAGACTAGTAAGCAGAAATCAAAGGAATGTATGGATGTGAGGATGAAGCTATGATTTAAAGTGAAGGGGAATAACAAACCACTGCTCAATGCGTTAAGGAATCAACTAATCATTTAATCAATTACCTATCAATCAATTTCAGGCGACTATGGATTTAAGAGTTAATTTAACACATTTGGCAGACTTTGATATTGTATCCATCTTAACTTTAATTGAGATTATCATTAGTGCGAAAATGAAATGAATAAAATACATTCAGAATGTACCATTTTGTCCCAATGGGGTTGATCGTTAATGTGGTCTAAGTTAAGAAACAGTAGCATCAGCAATGTCCCAAAAAACTATACATTTGTCCAACTAACGCCTAATTAACACAGTGATTACACATCTTTTTTTAAAATGTAAACTTATCCAGTTTTATTTTCAGAAACGTTCAAATGCCAAATTATATTTTTAACCTTGTATTTCCCCTTACTTGTATTTTTTATTTTCTGTTTCTTCTTACGGTGTGCCTGCAGGTGAATGGAGGCACTCAGGGTAACCCAGTGTGGAACACCTCTGCTATTGCTAATGAAGGCTGGGCGAAGACAGAGCTGGCCATTTCTACATTCTGGCCTAACTCCTATCAGGTAACACACACACGCACGCACGCACGCACGCACGCACGCACGCACGCACGCACGCACGCACGCACGCACGCACGCACACACACACACACACACACACACACACACACACACACACACACACACACACACACACACATGCAGATCACACAATTGTACACACATATTGGTATATGCTTGTATACTGTAGTTACTAAAGTATATATACTGTATATATGTAGTTACCACAGTATCAAACCAAATCTGTTTAATGTCACTAAGAAGTGCACTCCCTAATTCCATGTGTCAGGCAGATATTTAATTTGACAATATTTAATATTTGGACTGGCCTGCCTGGGGCTGTTTGTCTTTTTAATAGTTTTGCCTCTAGAATTAATTAAATATTTACTTTAATTAATGGAGAGTCAAGTCTAGGAGGTGCTGGTGTTTGTTTTGACAATGAATGTGTGAAAGAGACACTGAAAACGTTTTTTTGTGCTAAACTGAAAATATTGTATCAAATATGTTCATGACAACCCAGTCTCACGGCATTTCGTGTAATAGTCACAACATTTAATCTATTGATTCGTGTTCACCAACACGATTTTCCCATTTTTTTCGTGTCACACAGAACGATTTAAAAAGCAATGTATTTCTATTGGTAGTATGTTTCGTGCCTGCACCACGTCTTTTTGTCCGGTCGGGTCTTGGAAGACCGGAAGCTGTGTGGTTCATAAAAACATTTTCTTACTGTTTTTATTTTAAATTGTATAATGTCTGAAATGAAATGGGGCTCAGAGCCTCAGAATAGGCCTACTGAAATCTGTATTTTTTAAATCTTTTTTTCCTTCTAATTTGTTATTATTTGGTGCAGGCACGAAACATACTACCAATATAAATACATTGTTTCTAAAATCGTTCTGTTTCAGGATACTGAAATCTGTATTTTTTTTTTCCTTCTAATTTGTTATTATTTACATTGCTTTTAAAATCGTTCTGTGTGACACGAAAAATTGTGTTGGTGAACACGAATCAATAGATTGATTTTGTGACACGAAATGCCGTGAGACTGGGTTGTTCATGATCATGTGTCATATGGGTTGTTGCAGCAGTAGGCTAAGTCATACATTACCATCACCATGAAACTGCAACACCTAACTGGTAGGTAGCATTTATTTGCCTAATTTTATAAACCTGTGCCTTACTGCTGGCTAAAATGTTTGCCATATACATATACAAATAAAGGCTACAAACAAACAAATATACAAACTACTCTCAGAAGCAATGAGTAACAGTGAACTTTTAAAACAACCTTTGACAGCTGGGAGACACACAGAGAGACTCACAGAAGCCTAATGAACAGTAAGCTAACGTTTAGCTAACATTTTCGGCTAACATGTTAGAAAACGTGTCCCTCATTAAACAGCTACTGTAGTAAAAATAGAGCATCACAGACATTCCTTTATTATATTTTATTGAAGGTCTGACGGTTGTAATATATTTTAGGGCGGTGTTGAGTCTGAGAGCATGATAGTTACCAGGGTTGCCAACTTTGGGTACCTGGCTGGAGTGAGATTTTGATATCATGGGTTTAATTCGGTTTAATTCCACATATGCGCACGAAATGACTGCTATCGTGTCAGCAGCGGGACCTTAGCATATAGGATATATATACAATATATACAAATACACAATAATGGACACAGACTATAAAGGGCACACAGTTTCATTCACTAATGAAAGTCAAACATGTTTGTTTCCAATGTTTTATTGTGTGCCTGTCGCGATAAGCAATTAATTGACTTATCGTACGATAAATAAAAATGAACTCCATAACTTTTCTGACCTCGATAAATTGCCATTTACATGAGGATGTGACTAGCAGTTTGAAAGGATGTACTTGAATTATTATTATATATTATCATTATGTCAGTGGTCTAAAATGTTCATACAACGGTGCCGACAATATTATCGTTTATCGCAATAATTTCCGGGAAAATGTATCCAACAAAATTAATTATCGTGAGAGGCCTATACATGAAACACACACACACAAACAAATCTACAGACTTACTCCAAACTGCCAAATATATTAATTAACACACTCTCACTCTCATATACTCTTTGACTCTATTTTGGCCTAGTGGAACAATAAGCAGCAGACTTTTACTTTTTTATCATTTCTACTGGATCTTAGATCTGCGCATGCGCTCCAGAGTATTTTTGTTGGGTAATCTATGGTAGGGCTAACCCATACAGTGGTGGGGCTCAAGTCAGTATTTGCAATATAATTACATACACGCTCCCCCCGACAGTGAAACGCCACGCGTGAGGTTTAGATCATTTCCCTGTCTCAATCCAAATTGAACTGTATGAAATAAAAAGGCACATTTGTCTTGTAGTAAATAAAAAGGGCGACCTGGAGCCAATCCTGCAATTTCCCCACAGGTGGAAGAGTTGACATGCTGAAAAACCAACCACTGCAGGGGGGTCTGGGGGGATTCTCCCCCAGGAGATTAAAATACACATTTTGGTACTCTCTTGAGAAGAAAAATAAATAAATCTATTACTACACGACATATTTAAAAAAATGAATGCCATTTTAGTTTTTTGTTACTTTGTTCTGAAAGCTGAACCTGCTGCTCCTCACAGAGAGAAGAGGGAAGAGGCTGTGTGAATTACTTTACATTGTGGATAAGGGTGGATAACCCCCATTGTTCTGTGTGTCCAAATGAAAGACAGCCCACACACCTATCAATCATCAAACCGTGGGGTCTTATTTCATTACGTGTTGATTTCTATCAACACGTAATGTTGTATCGATGTATAGAGATGTACTACCGCAAAAGTATTCTCCGTCGGGACTTCCTGCAACAACACCACGCCGTTATCGTGATTCTGATTGGCCAGAAGCCATTATCAAAGATGTTCTATTGAGAAGACGATCACTACGTGACAAAAGTTTTCAAAACCGTTTCTAGTCTTCGGTATTCTTGTTTTTGGCGTGAGAATAGTTTGGGCAGCGTGAGAGCGTGAGATTGAGAGTGAAAGCGTGTGTCACACGCCAGATGCGTGAGAGTTGGCAACCCTGAGTTACATTAGTTAGATACTTACCCTGTGTAAGTTAGCAGCATATAATTAGCTCAACAGTTAGCTGCAAAGTTAGCTGCATGTTAAGGCATTTGAACCAGTATTACTTTTTAGAAGAAAAACACCCATTTAAAGGAACTTACATTTTAAAAATAAACATATCAATTTGTTTCAGCTGACTAATATGCTACACACTATTACTTTAGCATGACAAACAATAGGCTAAGATTAACTGAGAGTGAGCAAGGTAGAGACTATAGCAGCTTTAAGGACAACTACTGGGCATCCATGTCTTTAGTTCATGTGTATAAGTACAAACAGTGTGAAATTAAATTAACATGCTACTTAGAATATAGTACTCAAACAATTACATAATAACAAAACATGGAATGCTAATTTACACTTGTATAAAGAGCGCCTCACAATAAATGCAATAAACCATGAAGATACAACTAGAATCCTGCAAACTTTCACTTTCACTAAGCCATGTTGTGCTTTGATAGTCAATAACACAAGAGGCTTTTTATATGTATACTCAGAGGTCATCTTTTGCAAGTGGTGGTTAAGTATAAACCAAAGAAACCCAAATATGCTGCTATTTAATGACCCTTTCTTTCTATATTTGTATGTGTGTTTGCTTCGGTCCTTTCAAGGTACAGCAGTAGATACCCTGCTGTGATGTTTTATTGAAGTACTGTAGCACAAAAGCGACTGTGTTTTACCTATAATGACTGAGCTGTGTTCAGTAAATGAAGGCACCCCTGTAGCTGCATGGCACAATGCTAACCAGAGTGACATACATGTGTGCGTGCATTCCCTAATGAGGAGTCACCTCCCATGGAGAAACGACATTTCCTTTCACTAAAAGGACAACAACATTGTCATATTAAAGTCCAGATCACTGGGAGGGTAAACACAATCATTTAGGTAAACATTTCTCTCTCTCCTGAACAGCCTCTATTTTAAGCCTCTTTTACATGTGTTGATTTTCAAATATAGTATGGTAGTCTTATGATGAAACAAGCTCGTAAAACGTATTCAAAACATAAAATAACAGTAAAGAAAAAAACAATAGGACTGTCTTTGATGTCTAGGAACTTGACATGCGAGCCAGAGCAGGGGATATGTTTTTTGAAGGAAAGGGCAAGAGTAAAGTCTACCCAGAAGTCTTTAGTATTCAGGCTGAGCTCCATCTTATATTGTTGAGGATCCTGACAAGTACAGCACAGACGTATTTGACTGTGTGTGCAGTGTGTGTACATACTGTATGTGTGGGTCAGAAGTGCATGGCCCCTTGACAGCCCTGCTGACTGCCTGTCACCCTGAGCGTGTTTGTGAAGTATATGTGGAAAGGAAAATGTAAAGAAACACATTTTTAATTATGGGCTGGGAGAGAAAAAGTGAAGAATAAAACAAAAACAAGTAATTGAGAGGAGAGGTATCAGGAATGGATAGAGAGGGAAGAACAGGAGGACTGAAATAGAAAGAAAAGGAGGAGAATGAGATGAAGAAAGACGAGAGGAAAGAGTAGGAGGAAGGGCATATGTGGTTGGCATAAGGATACAGACAGACGGATGAAGGGATGAAGTGTAGAGACGAATAGTTGCTGACTTTCAGTGGAAAATTCCCCTGGGGTTTCTATATGAGCTTCTCAGGGCCGTCGAGATGTTGTGCGAGGAAAGATATTTTTTTAGTTTCTTCTTTTATAGAACACTATGGCTTAACACACTTCTTTCTTCCTTTCTGTTTTGCTTCCTTCTTCCCCTGTCAGGTAATATTTGAAGCGGTTTCAGTTCAAGGCCGTCCAGGTTTGATCGCCATCGACGACATACGAGTTCTGGCTCACCCCTGCCGTAAGTGACTCTGTGTGTGTGTGTCTGTGTATTTGTGTGTGTATGTGTGTGTGTGTGTCGTAATGGTTGACCCTGCACGACTGTAGCCCCACTGAGCATCATCTGTTTTATAGCGCACTCACACTCACACACACATACACATACACATACACACACAGGCTGTGTGAAGGACAGATTGCAGACAGATTGCAGAGAGCCAGGAAGAAGGTCCAAACTCAGGGTCTTCATCACTCAAATCTGACAGAAACACTTAGCTTCACAAAGCTCCAGACTGCTTACTGCAACACTCTGTGGCCTACTTACCTCTCCATGTTCACTCATTATTACTCCCCTTAACTATTCTCCCATTACTTTTCTTATAGAGTGGTGCAGAAATTAGTCGGGAAACTTAGAATTATTCTTTTTTTGTTACCAATTTGGGTTCTCTCGTTTTAAAGTAAACCATTTTGTTGAACAAGTTCTTGGTTAGATGCCTGAAATAAGGTTTGGTTAACACAAGCTGAAGAGATTTTTACGTTTTGTTCAACAACATGAGATACGGCAGTAAACATCCCACTAGTAAATGTTCGAAGCTTCAATATATCTTAAAAACTAAATGAGACTGCTAAATATCATCACGCCAAACATTAGCCACCTTTAGCTTAGCGTCATGTGACCTTGATGTAGTTCCATTATAGCCAAACGTTAGCTTTGTACTTAGGGCGGTTGCGCACGATTTTCACACAGAAAAATCATAAAAGTGGTGTTAATATGTGTACATTATCCTGCTGAATAAACGTGTGTTAGACACAAATCTTAATTCCTGCTATATTCCAAAATCCAATGGAAAATCCCGTTGCTTTTTGTCATGGAATCCCTTGCAATGCTAACTTTGTAAATGGTCCGGCTGGCAAGAGCACTCTCAGCTCATCTGTGCCAATCACTAATCAGATCAGTCAAAGTGAGAGAGTCCATGATAAAAAGCAAGCGGTATCCATCATGGAAGAAAGGCAATACGCTGGAAAACAAACATGTTTAGGAGGACAAACTACATTAATGAAGTGTTTTGGAAAAAGAAAAACGTTAAAAAAAGTTGAAAAAAAAGTTTGTTTAATTTGTGAAAACCTGACTATCAACGTCAGAGTGAATTATCATCGGTAATTGATCGATGCATACTCTGTTAGGCTTATCTCTGTCTGCAGACAGTCCAAATGAAATTAACCAGTCGCTGGCTGGTCTCAATGCCAGGCCAAAGTCACGCAGTGTCTGGCCGTCGCTCTCATTGTCTGCCTGCTCATCTGTCTCATAGCTATCCCATGAATTTCCCTGCCTCTCAGACAGCCATATTTGAACTGGATTTATATAGTTGTGCATTTTCCGGCAATTGTGTTTCTTATTGTAATCCATTGTGGATCTACCATGACTTTGATAACAGGATGGCATCTTTCAGTGGCTTGCCAATTGCTGTAATACAGGATTATATAACTATTAATATTTTAGAGAGCTTAAAGACCTTTTCAGACAGAGAGTTAATTTAATCAGGTCCTTTATTCCTTTTAAGAGGTCCCCAATTTTAAAGTATGATTGTTGCAACAAAATAGCCTTTTGTATCTTGTCTGGTTATACAGAATATTCTAGCTGAATGTTTACAAGTGTCTGTGTACATTGTTTGTTGCAGGTAAAGCTCCTCACTTCCTGCGTCTGCAGAATGTGGAGGTGAACGTGGGTCAGAATGCTACGTTTCAGTGTACTGCTGGAGGGAAGTGGTCTCAGCACGATAAACTCTGGCTACAGGTTAGTACCTCCTTATCAGTGTGCATGAATGGTATCAGCAGAAAGCGTACATGCAGGGCTTCAAAGGAAGCTCACAATGCCCATTATGTCCACATATTCGGGAATATAATTATGTAATATTCAAATTTTTTGTGAAAGGTAATGCTGCATTGTGGCATAGTGTAATCACTTGTTTATTTAAAAAAAGAAAAAGTCTAGTAAATAATAGTTGTTCAGGTAAATCTAATGAAAATAAACAATCATTATTGTCAATATATATATTTGTTTTTCTTCCGATAAAACACTGCAATATGTCTAGTGCAAGCATGGGCTTTCATAAGAAATGTGAAAAGGACATTTGCACTTCCATTTCCTCCAAGTCCATTCCTTTTATAAGTCAAAACACCTCTACATTATGGCTCATACCATGCCAGCTTACTACTGTTCTCCATCTCTTTCTTAGAGTTTGAATGTAGAAAAATATCATTATCCATGTTTCACCACTGGAAGCTGAGCAACACTTATGTTGTTGTCTTTTAAGATAACTTGCAAATACAAATATATATTTCACAAGAAATCCGAGTTCCAAATGCAGTTATAATTCATTCAGAATTCAATTTAGGAAAAAATAAAAGTACTTTGGGGGCTGACATCCCCAGCCTTCCCAGCTCTATTTCAGGATTGATTAAAAGTCCTTGTACTGCTCCGCACCAATAACTCCATCTCTGTGTGTGTGTGTGTGTGTGTGTGTGTGTGTGTGTGTGTGTGTGTGTGTGTGTGTGTGTGTGTGTGTGTGTGTGTGTGTGTGTGTGTGTGTGTGTGTGTGTGTGTGTGTGTGTGTGTGTGTGTGTGTGTGTGTGTGTGTGTGTCATGTGCATGCCTACATACTCATTCTAGTTTACATATGCACTGGCAAGCTTGCATGTTTTCACTGCACATGAGTGTGTACCACTGAGAGCGCTGCTGTGTACAGTAATGAAATGTGCAATGGAGAGCAGTGACCCTCCTGACTGCATGCCTGTGGGGGAAAGCATGTTTCCTTAAATTGGCAGATACTACTACAGTGGTAAAGAAGATTGGATCTGGAGATGTGGGGATCATATGCAAAGCAGTACGATGTTTAGTTTCATGTCTGACTTGCTCTGCTAAAATGGCCCCTGTTTCCTGACAGTTTTTGATATCAAATGGAGTCATTACTGTGGTGTTTGTTGATGCCTGCCTCCTGGAATTACTGTAATTTCAATACATTTGATGAAGAACTTAAACTACTTCCAAAACAGTGAGAGCTTTTGGCATAGCTACTCTTGCCTCTTTACTTCATATTCTTTCTAAAAATCAGATACACCTGATAAAGCTATATTATGACAAGCACTATAGCATATTGAAACCCACATCTAAGTGTCTTACTGTATGCATACTGCAGTTCTGCAAAATCAGAGCTAGATGAATCTAAGAATATTCAGTTATATAAATGTCTAGGTCAATGAAACAACCTTAATTTTCCTTAAGAAATTCTATATTTGTATCCAAGGTAGGAGACTCACTCAAAAATGTATTTTACCTCTCATGAGGCTGAAAGAGTTGTTCGGTTGACTGACACGTCTCATCTTATTACACTCATTGAGTCGTGGTGGCATGAATCAGTCTAAATTGCATTTGATTGAAGAAAATGTGCTCTTTTTATCAGTACTACTATCCACCATTGTGAGCTCTTTACAAAGAGTATACTGTATATACAGGGATTTTGCTGAAAATTGACTGGTCTTATCTTTCTCATTATGCAGCAGTGGAACGGTAAGGACACGGCACTGATGGTGACCCGGGTGGTAAACCACCGGCGTTTCACTGCAACCGTAAGCGTTGGCGACACATCGCAGCGCAGCACCAGCCGCTACCGCTGCGTCATCCGATCTGACGGCGGGTCAGGGGTGTCCAACTACGCTGAACTCATCGTTAAAGGTAAGATCTGATGATCATCTTATTTCACGTAGCGTACAAGTAGGAGGTGACTTACTAGCTTACCACTTTTAAGCAAAACATTTGTGATTAATGTGTATGAGTGAATGAAAAATTGATCATGTGGATGCAATAAAGTGGGCACAGAACACTGAAGAGATTTCAGTGACTAGAACTCAGAATAAGCCCATTTTCACTAAATGTTTTCACGTATCTGTCAGTCTTTTTAAAATGTAACTACTTCTGTGTCTCAGGTTCCCTTCTTTGTCATAGAAAGTACAACATTGTTGTCAATTTAAAATAGGAAGCATTTGTTATATAAAATAAATGTTTTCGGGGTTTCAATTACCCCTGGAGCAGAAGTAGTTGAGCAGGAATCCAGTAAAAGGTGGGATGTATAAAATAATCTTCTACCTTTTACACCCCCATAAAACCTTTGCGTTCTTAGTTTCCATGTATTCAAACCCACATACCTCTATTATACATTCTATGTAAGCCTCCAAAGTAGCCAGAGATGCCAAAACACAACGCAGAAATATGTAGGCTATAGCAGGTTACACAAATAATAAATGTTCTATGTGATGTAATGGGGACACAATAAAAAATATTGTTGGCTTTAAGTATTTTACACAGATTCACAAACTCTACAGTTTTAGAACAATCAGATAAAACATGATAATGCCAAACTCTGATAGGCCTACCTGTCTTTATTTCCTATTATTCATTACTCTTCTTTTCACCCTCATCACTTCTTATTTTCTCTGTCCCTCTTGTATTTATCTGTGCCCCTTGACAAATCCCCTCATGGAGGACATTCAAATCCCCTAATGCAATCTACTCAGCTGTGCCCTTGCACTCAATACATGGCAACAAATATTAAGGGATCTCTGTGATTAACCGTCCCACTCTCCATCCCATGGTTCATGTAAACAACAGGAAATACAGTGCTGTCCTGCTGAGAAGGATATTGATGTTGGATAATGTTGTTGTGAGGTTTTGATAGAATTATAGCGTCACAGCTATCTGTTTTTGTCAGACATAATTACATTCCTTCACGTGTCTCCCAGTCTCTCTCTATTGCACTGTGTGTGTTTGGAATCATCTTACTTTATCCAGGCCTCATTTCACCATCAGCTCATGGCCTTGTCTCCTGATAAATTGTTGGCATAGAAACAGTAAATAGATTGTATAAAGTGCACTGAGTTTGCTATCAGTCAAAAGAGTGCTTGCAAAAATGTTAGCATAAGCCTGCTATCACTGAAGACTAACGCAGCGTCCACACGGCGGCGTGCGTTGAAGCTTGCCGGTGGGCGTGTCTGAAACTCGACCAACAACCAATCACATGAATTTCCCGCCCCGGACACACAAGCAAGCGGTTTGATTGGCTAGAGCTTGTACGGGCATATGATTTGATTGGCTGACGCTTCCGTCGAAGCTTCAAAAGTTGAACATTGCTCAACTTTTGAAGCGATCAACGCGAGCAAAGCGAAGCGACGCAACCACAATGCAGTTTGGCAAAGCGTGACGTCACCCCATTCAAAGTGAATGCAGCTTCAACGCACACCGCTGTGTGGACGGGCCGTAACAGGTTAGAATTGAGCCAAATGTGACTCAATACAGTGTAGCCTGTTGAAAGTCTTGACCCGGAACTTAGGCTTTGTGTTAGCACTGAGCTCTCTCTATTACTGAAGCATTAACAATGTTATGGCATTTAGCAAGCCATCATTTACTATGGTGTATGAAGATGTTAATCCTGTGCGTGTTATCACTCAGTAATAAGTAGCATGCTAAAGTGCTGCCACTGAGCCTCTTATTAGCCAAAACAATATGCTACATTCATACAACAAAGCCAAATGTGCTAATTTATTTGCAATTATATTATGACTGAGCCCCCTATCAATCACGCCTGCTTAAGTTAGATCCCTAACCCACTTTCAGTTACTGTAGCTGTATGCCCCATTATTAGCACAAAGCCTGTTTACTGTGACTATGCTAAACAGTTAGCATAACTTTCTCTTTGCATGCTTGCATTGAGGATAAAGCACAACATTTTTTTCTTATCTGTTGTATCCTTGAACACATAAGCTGATATGCAGGAAAAAAGAATATCAGAAAATACCCGCTTTCAATTAGCTATATGCTACATCGTTAGCAAAGAGCCTGTTTATGCTATGTATTATGTTTCATTGTTAGCACAACCACTTATTTGTCCACTTGGAGTTTTGCACAGTGCAGAACAATTATTGTCCTATCTCTCTTATCCTTGAACACATAAGCTAACCAGCAGAAAAAAAAAAAACACCTTTTAGCTCTTTTGACCATGACGCAAAAGCCCTGTGTGCTCAGTGACTGTAATGCTGAGCTTCTGCTTGGTTGCATGACATTCTCCAGGGTTGTCTTTTGACAACAGAGGAATGATTTTGTTTTTAAAGTATAATAGACCACGGACACTTTCTCAGCACAAGTTATTATTATATGCTCTAAATTAATGTCTTCTTTAACAATAAAATGCTTACAGTGAAATGTAAATGTATTTCTGAGGCTACATTTTGACAAAAAATACCTCTCTACCTTAAAGTATTTTTAATTTCTATCAAACATAAAAATATCGTGATGGGGATGGAACTGTTTGTTTTTTAATGGAATCTAAATTGCCTTACTGGAATACATTTAAATGAAAGACATGCCAGCCTAGGTTATGTTCTCAATTCATATTTGGTATGAATTATGCTGTTAACCTTATTTGCTATGAAGGATGTTTTAATCTAGAGGGAGACTGGAGTGTGTGTGTGTGTGTGTGTGTGTGTGTGTGTGTGTGTGTGTGTGTGTGTGTGTGTGTGTGTGTGTGTGTGTGTGTGTGTGTGTGTGTGTGTGTGGGTGTGGGTGTGTGTGTGTGTGTATGTACAGAACGTGCATGTGTGTGTATCAGCCTGTATGCGTGTTTGCTGTTGCTGTTATGATTAGATGATAGTCCGGGGACTCAAAACTGTCATTACCATCTGTTAGAAGAACACACAGACTGCACTCCTGAGGGTGTGTGTGTGTGTGTGTGTGTGTGTGTGTGTGTGTGTGTGTGTGTGTGTGTGTGTGTGTGTGTGTGTGTGTGTGTGTGTGTGTGTGTGTGTGTGTGTGTGTGTGTGTGTGTGTGTGTGTGTGTGTCTTTTAGAGATAAGACTCAGCGGGGCGTAGCAGGGGAGCCACTGTTAGCCGGTTCCCTGTGGACACTATTGCAAAGTGTGTGTGTGTATGTATGTGTGAGTTCCCCAGGAACACTGCTGCATCTTTCTAAGTCTCCCTTGGTGGTCATGAAACTGATTGTAGTCCAATAATTAGACCCAGAAGTGTCACCACAATGTAAGAGTCTGTGTGTGTGTGTCCACATATATGTGTGTGAGCATGTCCATAGAGATATTTCTTGCCCAGAGCTGGTTCCTGGCATTTTCGATGTGTCTGTTCCATGATAAAAAAATCAATAGCAGCGTGGACAGCTCAGCATTATGTGTAAGATCTGTGGAAGCCAACTGAAGCTCTGAACTCCTACTGGGTGTGAACACAACCTCAGAATTTATAAAAATAACTGTTTGAAAAGTACTTTTGGCTTCTAAATAAGAACCCTTTTTCCAAATTGAGATGTGAAACATAAAAAAAAAGAACACTGTCACAAATAGCTGTCAGGTATTCGTAAAAAAGGCAGAGTTAAAATAAAAGCAGTTGAAATAGAGTGGTGCACACTGGTGCTGGGATGACATATTTACCCGGAAGTAAGCTGCGCATGGGTTCCCTCGACAAAAAAGCAATGGGATTTCTCCATAGGATTTTGGAAAATAGCTTAAAATAAGGTCTGTGGAAAACGAAAATATTTGCGAAAAACAAATGCACGTTTTGTTCAGCCGGATAATATCCACATGTCTACCCTACTTTTATAATTTTCGAATCATAAATCTAATCTCCAGAAGCAAAATGCTAACGTTATGCTACAAACGAACTACAGCCGAGTACAGCAGGGCCGCACGACCTCAACGTCACGCCAACTTAAGATCGATATTCAAACATACAGATTCAAAATTGTACAAGTTGAAGCGTTTGTTTGAACAGTTTGCAGGAGGCAGGTACTTGCTTTCAAGCAGAACAGGGGCAAAAAAAAATTGCGGGAGTGTTTACGTGTTCGGTGTAATGACGTACAACTTCTGTAGTCCTATTCAGCCACTTGTTAACAACCATCGTTTTTCAGACACGTCAACTCTTCAAAAATCCCCAGTGGGGTCACTGCTGATGTATTTAATGTCGTAGAACAAAACGTGATCCGTCTCTTCAATTTGTGATAACCACACAATAACCCACATATATATATATATATTCCACCTTTTTAAAGCTCATAAAGCACCTTACATTCTACAATAAAATACAGTTTCAAATAGAATAAATAGAAATAAGTGCAAATAGTTACTGATTGAGAACTGAATTTATGTTAAAAAAAAATAGGAACTCAAACAACAGTGACATATCTCTGTCATTGAACTGATATAATTAGTGCTCTAGAAAGGCAGATACATTATTCTTAATTTCTCTGAAAACATATTGGAAAACAGGAAGGTCTTAACAAAGATTTGCTAAAGTATATACAAAAAAACCAGGAAAAGAATATTGAATATATTGGCCTATCTGTAATATAACCCCATAATGAATTGGGGGACTTGTTCCACTGCATTTTAAGTAATTAAAGTCAATTTTTTTTTTAAAGAATATACTGTATTATTTTAAACAAAACTTAAACTAAACATACAACAGACAAAGAAAATGTTGCCAGCCACAAGTTGTACTGTTTTTTGTTCCTACATTCCTTAACAATAAAATGTGTCTCATGTTTGTAAAATGTGGACATAAGTGAGGGTGGTTTGGTGAAACATATTGCCAAATATGCACAAATCAATAAACAAGTAGATAAAACAACATCATAAAATATACACAAGATGAGAAAAGGAAAAAATGGATGCATCATAAAC